AATATCCCAGAAGACAAGTGGATGGAAACACGACATTAATAACCCGTTCCTTCCATGAAAATCATTAATATCCCAGAAGACAAGTGGATGGAAACACGACATTAATAACCCGTTCCTTCCATGAAAATCATTAATATCCCAGAACACAAGTTGATGGAAACACGACATTAATAACCCGTTCCTGCCATGAAAATCATTAATATCCCAGAAGACAAGTTGATGGAAACACGACATTAATAACCCGTTCTCACGCCTTACAAAAGCATTTAGAGTACCCGGATCAACGTAATCAACTTTCTTACATAAATATGGAAATTTACAGCTACTATTTGACAGACTCCTTCATAGAACCCCAAAATACTCCCAGAAAAGTCTTTATAAAAATGAGTTGCTCTACAAAATAGATTGCTAGCGCATACATGATGGAAACAGTCCTAAGTACCTCTCCCCAATACCTACTACAAGTATGAGAACAAGCCACCTACAGCTAACACATAACAATATCATTAGATCAAAATATAGACCAGGCATCATGGCCTGGTGGTTAGAACGCTGGACTAGCAATTTGCGGGTTCAAATCCCCGTCACACCAAACATTCTCGCCCTATCAGTCGTGAGGGCGTTATAATGTTACGGTCAATCTCACTATTCGTTGGTAAAAAAGGAGTCCAAGAATTGACGGTGGGTGGTGATGAGTAGCTTTGACTGTTAAATTAGGGACGGCTAGAGCAGATAGCCCTCATGTATCTTTGCGCGAAATCCATAATAAACAAACAATACATAATGACATCATCAAACATAGCAATTTGTACTAAACCCATTCCAAAGATCAAGTTCCTTTGTACAAAGAAAATGTACTTCTATTGTAATTATTTTTTATGACTTTGTTTTACTTAAGCTTAACGGAAAAAGCATCTATAATTTTAGAAATACTACAACGTTATTTCCTTAAAAAGAGCTAGAAACCGAGTTTTGATATCCGTGGTGGGCAGAGCACAGATAGCCCATTGTGCAATTTTGTGCTTAACTTGATATAAATAAACAAACAAACTTTAAAAATAAATTATTTATTACACAAGCCCCCAGGGGCACAGCAGTATGTCAGCGGACTTAGAACGCTAGAAACCGGGTTTTGATATCCGTGGTGGGCAGAACACAGATAGCCCATTGTGTTTAGTTTGACCATCTCCACAGTGCCATCAAGTACTTAAAATCGATTCTTGCGGAAACTAGCAGATTTTTTACCAATAACACTTTGAAAGTATGTCTTTCATGCTGTGCGGTTCCTTTTCAGCAGCAAATATCTTACTTCGTAAATCTATTTGTATTGGTTACACCACCAGTAATCTTTTTCCACTGTTGCCCTTCGCAATTTTACAAAGAACATTTGTCCGTTTCGAAGCTGATTTTCTGTAGATAGTTTTAACACTATACATTTTAACACTAAAGGGAACTTACTAGCAAGGTCGAAATGGAACAACCTTCGATGTTCATACGAACAAGAAAACGAAAACGAACTCCCTTTATATTGAAAGTAGAGACAAACTGTTTGACAATATGTTTCGAAGATAGTTGTTAACCGATACTTTTTGTCATTTTATAGTTAGAGCATCTTTTCATCACCTTCCTGTGAGTGATTTTTTTTCTATCTGTGGTCAGTCTTTCAGGCTCTTAGGAAAAACATATTTGGGTCATTGACACTTACTTGGCTCAAAGGTAGCAGTGTCTAGAATGTGTGAAGTGCGCCTTTTGTCGTAACCCTTGTTTTTCTTTGTGAATCAGCTGAATATGAGAAAATACAATTTAACAGCAAAAACTTATTAATCATCCCTTTGTAAGATGTTCCTGTCTTTGGGGACAATGGTACTGATGCTTGAAGAAGGCCGAATAGAAAAAGTTATCAAAACGTTAGTCTTGTCATTCATTTGCACCCGAAACTATCATGTTTATCTTTGAATGGTAAATATGGTTTCGAACCGTAAAGCTTTAAATAATCCTGTTAATGACGTAATTACAAATAATAACAAAAAAAGAGACAGAAAATTACAAAAAAGAGATAGAAAAGTAAGAGAAAAACCAAGAAACTGAAATTTAAGAGAGAATTTTAAAGAAACAGACAAATTATTTAAAGAAGATTTAAAATGAATAAATACATCTGACTGAAGACAAGATCGATAAAACTATTGGAGATGTACAGAGAGAGATTTAAATGACAAGAATGAAGAAGTACAAAGAAACTGTAATGACATCATTGAGGTAGAAAAGAACAGAACATTAGTGACAGAATAAGGTATCTGGAAAACAAATTATTACATGAAAAGATTAAACCACCCACACCTCTCTCTGCATCAGTTCAAGAGTTTCAAGCAAAAAAAGCATCTACTACTACAAGATATGTAATGGAAGAACTAACATGGTCTACAAATATCACCACTACGATATATTACTGAATGAACTTCCTGGACTACTCTTAGTTCCAGAATGTAGCAGACTAGTTCAACAATGGCTGAACGAGAAACCAACTGACTATAATGGAAAGGTACCATAAGATTCATACCAAGGTCAATTCATAAACATTCTAAGAGTGAATAAATGGAATAGTGAGAAATAGTCATCTATCTAGCTGC